TCGCTCACGCCTGACCCTTGCACTAACCCCCGTCGCTCGCAGATCGTGCCGCCACAAGAGCAGTGACATCAGCTCACATGTTTACTATCTACAGCCCCATAACAGGAGATCAGTACCTCTGTACGGCCCCGTACTCTCCTTGTCAGATCTCCACCTCTGAAGGGTTACCTATACTTGCTTCACACGCTATCTGTGTGCTTTAAAACAGTCCCGGTGCTTTAAAGCCGCCATCCCAAGCCAAGCACTGCTGTGTTTACTTTCACCTTGTCTGCGTTTGCCTTGCACATGGGAGGGAGAAGGAGGTGGGAGTCTGCTCCATGTATTAGGTTGGAGGTCACACTATACAGCTCGGGTCACATGTCCTTCTCTTACAGGAAAGCCATCGAGGGTCTGGCCACAATCAGTGAAGATGGAAGGTCCCCCATCTCCATTCAGCAGATGGCGTACGGTGGGTACAGACCCTGGCCATAATTGGCATCATTGCACCCATGTGACGTATGAATACAGGTAATAACGTGGCACACGTGTGTTTTCCCCGCAGTGTCCGGCTTCGCCTTCGGGATCATCAGCGGAGTGTTTTCCGTCATCAACATCTTGGCGGATGCGGTGGGCCCCGGGATTGTGGGGGTTCATGGCGATTCCCAGTATTACTTCCTAACTTCAGGTATGACGGGCCGGGCAACATGGCGGGTTGGGCCCCGGCATTGTGGGGTTCATGGCTATTCCCAGTATTCCTAACTTTAGGTATGATGGGCTGGGCAACATGGCGGGTTGGGCCCCGGCATTGTGGGGTTCATGGCTATTCCCAGTATTCCTAACTTTAGGTATGATGGGCTGCGCAACATGGGGGGTTGGGCCCCGGGCATTGTGGGCGTTCATGGTGATTCCCAGTATTACTTCCTAACTTCAGGTATGACGGGCTGGGCAATATGGCGGGTTGGTAAGAACACATTGAAAGGCTCGTGTACACAGGAGTTCCCGGATAGTCTTCTAGGACAGGGAGCTGGGCGAGTAGCTCCACCCACACTTTCCTCTGCTCTTTGGCTCCATCTAGTGGCAGAATTGCTGCGCGAACCCGTTATGAATATTATTATTATATAGGATTTATATAGCGCCATCATTGTGCGCAGCGCTGTACAATATAAGGAAGACATTACAATACAATTCAAGACAAGATGGTAAGGAGGGCCCTGCCCCTGAGGGCCTACAATCTAAGAGGGAGGGGCCAGTGATACATGAGGAGGGAGCTGTGTGGGGATGAATGGTTCGGTGGTTAGGTTGAGGTGGGATCGACTTCCCTGAAGAGATGAGTCTTAAGGTGGGGGTTGCAGACACTGAGCGGTTGGTTAGGTGGATGAGTCTGGCAGCTGCATTCATGATAGACTGAATGGGGGGAGGAGCCTGTGTAGTGGAAGGCCAATGAGGAGGGAGTTGCAATAGACCCCTTAGTGTATTGGACACCCAGGGCTGCTCTATAGGACAACATTATTGCCGGTAGTTATAATGAAATGACTGGGAAGAGGAACGCAGGCGCTGAACATTGTAATGTCCCCCCAATGTTGGTGATGCCCCCTCATATTGGTGGTTAGAGGATTTCCACTCACTTTACCAGACCCGTGTTTTGTAGGTCACCTCTTCTGAATGTCACCGGAGGGATTCCCGCGGTGCTGTAATTGGCAATTTACTTTCCTCTGTTGCAGCGTTCCTGACCATGGCGATTGTTTTCCTGCACACCTTCTGGGGTATCATATTCTTTGCCGCGTGCGAAAAGCGGAAACCCATGCACATCGTGGGGGTGGTCCTCAGTCACCTGGTCACCTCCGGGCTGGTGAGTAAAATCTGCTTCCAGTGATGCCCCGTTATTAAATGCATTAATAGCCTGCAGGGCAATGCATTAACCTAAAACACGGTCCTATAGGTGGTCCGACCTTTCATGTAGACCTCATGATATGGTTCATGATATAGCGGCACATCCGGCCGTATATAGCTTCATGCTCCTCGTATCCGTGTCCACATTAGAAATAACGTTCATATTCATTTTAGTATTTTTAATTTTATTTGTTTTTCTTGATTTTACCTTTTTTTTTTTGCAGACATTCCTGAACCCGAGGTATGAGGCCACCTTGATCCCTATATACATCATCACCCTAGGCATGGGAATTTGGGCCTTCATAGCAGCGGGAGGCAACCACCACAACATACGCAAATGCCTTGCTTGTAAGTACGAGGTGTTCTCTAGCAGCCGCTGGGCTGACGGAAGGTAGACGTCTGTTTTGCTCTTCAGGTTTTCGGGGGCACACTCATACGGCACCAGTGCCCAGGAGGATGTTGTGGAGTGGGGGAGGGGCAAATGTGTAACTCACCAGCCCTTTGAATTGGTAAAGGGGTCACTTGTGTGCTAGTATTATTATTGGGGGGCACTTTAAAAAAAAAAAATGAGAGCACTGCCTATCCTCTGACGTTCCAGCTACCTGACCATCACAGCTATGCTTTATGGCCAAATGTAAGTGGACATCCCACCACGTAACTGAGTTTAGGTGCTCCCAGTGTTGGGTACTATTAATCCTCCATCATACAAAGACATTGGAGACCATTGTGCTCTTCCAGCCTTGTGGTCACAGTGTGGTGAAGTCCCTTTTCTGTCCCACCTTGACTGTCCCCTGTGTACAGAGCCAGCTCCATAAAGACATGATGTGACCAGTTGGGTGAAGACCCTTTTCTGTCCCACCATGTCTTTATGAAGCTGGCTTTGTACACAGGGGACAGTCATGGTGGGACAGAAAAGGGCCTTCACCCAACTGGTCACACCAGGACTGTCCCCTGTGTACAGAGCCAGCTTCATAAAGACATGGTGTGTCCAGTTTTGGAGAAACGAGTTCCTGCACAGAGCCCTGACCTCAACCCGATAAATTGGAACCAGACGGTGAGCCAGGTCTTCTCATCCAACATGAGAACCTGACCTCACAAATGGGCACACCCACCTTCCCAGAGACACCCTCGGAAACCTTCCCAAAGACGCCATCGGAAACCTTCCCATAGACGCCCTCCTGAAACCTTCCCATAGACACCCTCCTGAAACCTTCCCATAGACACCCTCCTGAAACCTTCCCATAGACACCCTCCTGAAACCTTCCCATAGACACCCTCCTGAAACCTTCCCATAGACACCCTCCTGAAACCTTCCCATAGACACCCTCCTGAAACCTTCCCATAGACGCCCTCCTGAAACCTTCCCATAGACGCCCTCCTGAAACCTTCCCATAGACGCCCTCCTGAAACCTTCCCATAGACGCCCTCCTGAAACCTTCCCATAGACGCCCTCCTGAAACCTTCCCATAGACGCCCTCCTGAAACCTTCCCATAGACGCCCTCCTGAAACCTTCCCATAGACGCCCTCCTGAAACCTTCCCATAGACGCCCTCCTGAAACCTTCCCATAGACGCCCTCCTGAAACCTTCCCATAGACGCCCTCCTGAAACCTTCCCATAGACGCCCTCCTGAAACCTTCCCATAGACGCCCTCCTGAAACCTTCCCATAGACGCCCTCCTGAAACCTTCCCATAGACACCCTCCTGAAACCTTCCCATAGACGCCCTCCTGAAACCTTCCCATTGACGCCCTCCGAAACCTTCCCAGAGACTCCCTCCGGAACCTTCCCACAGACGCCCTCCTGAAACCTTCCCAAAGACGCCCTCCTGAAACCTTCCCAAAGACGCCCTCCTGAAACCTTCCCAAAGACGCCCTCCTGAAACCTTCCCAAAGACGCCCTCCTGAAACCTTCCCATAGACGCCCTCCTGAAACCTTCCCATAGACGCCCTCCTGAAACCTTCCCATAGACGCCCTCCTGAAACCTTCCCATAGACGCCCTCCTGAAACCTTCCCATAGACGCCCTCCTGAAACCTTCCCATAGACCCCCGCCTGAAACCTTCCCATAGACGCCCTCCTGAAACCTTCCCATAGACGCCCTCCTGAAACCTTCCCATAGACGCCCTCCTGAAACCTTCCCATAGACGCCCTCCTGAAACCTTCCCATAGACGCCCTCCGAAACCTCATGGAAACCCTTTCCAGAGGAGTGGGGGCCGATATATTCTTAATGAAGAGGGGGGCAGCTCCATATTAATGGCCATGGATTTGGAATGGGACAGCCAACAAAATCAAATAGGTGTGATGGTCAGGAGTCCACCAATGTTGCACCATACAGTGTTCACTCCCCGTTATTGCATGCATTTCCTGGGTGTTGTAGGGGATCCTTAATGGGATGGTGTCATCCCCACCAGGGAAGAGCTTTCAGGTGCTCATACCTCGAGTCCTTCTCTGTTGGCCAAATCAAGACCTATCGCACCATTTACCACTTTTAAATGACACTTCTACCTTTCCATCCCTCGTATTATGCCTTTTAGCCGCAACTTAAAGGGAACTGGTCTCTTGACTGAACTGCTTGACGTGACCGGGAAGTGCCTGCACATACCTTTTACCTTGCCGAGTGCCTTGTTACCCAACAAACCAGGGGGGAGCTTAATGGGCGGATATCAGTTTGTTCTGAAGCCGGGCACTGGCACCTTTCCCGGCTCCTGATTGGTCAGAAACAAAATGGCCCATCGGATTGACGAATGCTGTGCCATGGCCATGCCATTCCAGCTTTTCAAGATGGCAGCTGCTGTTTGAATCCTCAGACAAGTAAAGGTCGGCGCAGACGCTTCTCATTGGTTACATTTAAAATCTAGAGAGGGGAAGAGTTTACTAAAAGTGAAGGCTGTTTATACAAGGGACCTGTTTGCTTTAATGCACCAGGACCACGGTATAAGTGTCACCTGAAGGTGGTATACCCCCGTGTAGGTGTGGTGTCCTCTGATAAACCCCTCCGCTGCCTGCCATGCACATAATAGGGGGTTTTGCTTACATAGGGCCTCATTTAATGTCTCGGACAGTCCGCGTGGCCCATAGTATCCGGATTGTCCATGTGGGCTGTACAGGCCGGGGCCAATCGTAGGTATTTTG